GAGAAGCGACCCCTCGAACCAACTCAGAATGGCACGTCATCCCTGCGTCGCATCGGCATGCTGGACTTGCTGGACCAAGATCCACGACCTACATTCGTTATCGATACATCGCCAGGTAGCCCGAAGTCCGAAAATGGATGCCATTTGGAGTATTGGAATTCGGCCATGGCCGCCGCCGACCCTGGAGGGCTACTGCAACTACTAAGCCGAGATGGTGGTGCGTACTCTGCTAATGAAGAAGGCTATGCCCCGTTTACAAAATTTCGAAGCTGGTCTTTGACACACGACACATCGGATAAGCCGTTCCTTTATCATGGTTTCAACTGGATGAAGATCCATGTGGCTGGCCGCTGGAATGTCATAAGCGGTCTCTTGGCCACCACATGCACCGGCAGTGAGGGCTCTGGGATGACCACTCTCACTCGAAAAACTTCTAAATCGAAAGTACCGAACTTCGATTGGACGGATGAACTTCCTCCTCTGCGGTTGTCACGACATGCAGCCTGGGCGCGCAGCATTGACTGGGCCTCCACCCCTCTTGGCCCAATGTCTTCCTGGTCGTCGCAACTACGCAGTATTGCCAATCTTGTCATGCAAGATCCACGGCCAGCAGTCGTTTTTTACGGTCCGGATCTGATCATGATCTACAACGAAGCAGAGATAGAGCTTTTGGGTGGCTTCCACCCTTGCATGGGAGTCAGCGCTCGCGTCGCGCTGGCTTCAGTTTGGGGCGAGTATTTTGAACCCATCATACGAACCAACCTCGCTGGAGAAACCGTGGAAAAGACGAACACTGCTATACACATGGTACGCAGCGGTTTCATGGAAGAGACGTACTTCTCCTTAAAGTTCATACCCATATTAGATGCTGAGGGCATCACAGTTGGGCATTATGAGCCCCTGGTAGAAACGGTATGTTGCAACTCTCGCACTTTCAGCGCATATTTTGGGCATCTGCCCTTCCAGTGGCGCATCTGACGCTACGTACGGATGAGGATCGTACTCACGGAAGCATGGATTCTTAAACTTGGGTATGCCGTCGCAACCCTTGGGAGCCATGTTTGAAGCTGCGAAGCCATTTCTGCAACCCGCTGACAGCCGTGTAGACTAGACAGGTCATTGCACAAAGACGCTCGCGCGTTCTCCTAGAGCTAAGCGAGGAGATACCCAGGGCGCGCAATACGGATACTTACTGGGTTCTCGCCACCGAAGTTCTATCCCGCAACGATAAAGATATTCCGTTCGCATTGTTGTATTCGGCTGAAGCAGACGGACATGGGTCCGAATCGAGTAGGACGCGCTTTTCCGATACGAACCAACAACACTGCAAGCTTCGTGGCTCATTCGGTCTTCCTAAAGGGTCGCCCGCAGGTCCCGATCATCTGGACTTCCAACAAGATCATGGCTTTACTCCATACTTCCGCCAAGCTCTTACTGCCCGAAAGCCGATCATAATCCGGTTCGATCAGGATCCTGTGGCGGCAGCGTTAGTCAAGGACGTTGAGTGGCAGGGCTTCGGTGATCCCTGCCGAGCGGCAGCCATCTGCCCACTGAACCCGACTTCTTCAAAAGACAATATTCTTGGCTTCATGGTCATTGGGCTTAATCCCCGTCGGCCATTTGACGAAGATTATCTCCAATTCATAATGGTCGCCAGTCGCCTGCTTTCTACCTGCTTAACATCAATTTTACTCCATGAAGAGGACATTGGGCGTCGAGAACGGACTATCGCAAACGCGGAAGCAATGAAATCGCAGCTAAAGGAACAGTTGACTCTGTCCCAAGCGGAGTCTGAGCGCAACTTCTCCAAGTTCAAACGCTTCGCAGAGCGTGCCGATATTGGCATCTTTCTCATAGGAATGGACGGGGTCTATTCGTATAGGAACGAAGCTTGGTTTGAGATGCTTGGTCCAGTGGATCCTGCAACCGATCTCGCTGACGCGTGGAGTAAGCTTATCGACGATGACTTCGTCGAAATGGGACAAGCAAAGTTTGAGGAACTTGTCGAGACCAAGCAGCATCAGTAAGTGATAGGTACGTCATGACGTGCGACAAAGCTTACCGTGACCAGATCATTTGAGTTGCGTCTCAAGAAGAGGTGGAATGCGCCTACCCAGCATATGGATGATACATTCCCCGAACAGGAGCCAATGTGGGTCATCACATCCATCTTCCCTGAGCTCGATGAAAATGGAGAAGTAGTAGAGATCATCGGTTGCTGTACCGACATCAGGTACGTCATTCCTTCATCTCGCTATGCTTAACTAAAGGCTTTGAACAGTCAGCAGAAATGGGGAGAGAAACTTCAGGCTACCCAGGCGACGAGGGCCCGAGAATCTAAACGCAGTCTAGAAAACTTCATCGACACGACATCACACGAAATGCGAAATCCTCTGTCCGCGATCGTCCAGTGTGCAGATAGTATTATCTCGGCTCACAAAAACTTCAGCAAGTCGACAGATTATCAAAAGGTCTATCAGACTATATTGGAGACTACCGTCGACGCTGCCGAAACCATTGTCCAGTGCTCGAAGCACATGAAGACTATTGTGGACGACGTGCTTACCATGTCTAAACTGGACTCAGGTCTATTTGTAATGACCCCAGTCGATGTCAAATTCGACTCAATCGCGAGAGACGCGGTGAAGATGTTCGAAGGTGAAGCCAAGTCAGCTGGTGTGGATTTGCGATTCCAGCTCGAAGAGTCATGCAAAAAGATCGCCGTTGATCTCGTTTCGCTAGACCCTACAAGGGTCTTACAGATACTTATCGTAAGTACGTGAGACATATTGAGATGCTTCGGCTAACAAGTAAGAACCTTATCACCAATGCAATCAAATTCACCCGACTAGAAGAGATACGCGAGATCAGGGTCAGTCTGGGCGTCTCCTTGAAGCAGCCGACCCACAGTTTCAGCGTGCCATTCTCCCGTAGTTCGGAAACATCAGAAGCAGCGACTCTACAAGCAGATTGGGAGAAGGGCGAGATAGTAAGCTGTTGCTGAAGGCGATGTCTCAGGTCTACCACTAACGCAAAAAGATCTACATCATCTTCTCCGTGCAGGACACGGGTCGTGGCTTGAGCGACGAAGAACACCAGCTCCTTTTCGCACGCTTTTCGCAAGCGTCTCCGCGCACACATATCGACTATGGTGAGTATGAACCTTGAAGGCGATCGAACGACTTGCTGACGTATTTTAGGTGGCTCCGGTCTGGGTCTCTTCATCTCACGAAAGCTTACTGAGATGCACGGCGGCGCTATCGGCTTCGCATCTAAAGCCGGCGTCGGAAGCACATTTTCCTTCTACGTGAAGAGTCGTAGAAGCACTATTCGCCCCAACTTTAACCGGTCGGAAAGCGATGCGGCCGTTAGCTTGAGCATACGTGCGCAAAAGACGCTGCTTTCAAGTCGATCGCGCAACGAATCGGACGAACCACCCCAAGCCTCCGCTCCTGCGAACGACATACCCAACAAAGACCTGCACGTCCTCATCGTCGAAGACAACCTCGTAAACCAGCGCGTCCTGGCCAAGCAGCTACGGAATACGGGTATGCAGGTCGCAGTCGCGAATCATGGTGGAGAAGCTCTTGACTATCTGCGCACAACAAAGTACTGCATCTCCGATGGCTCTGGAAAGCCACTCGCACTCATCCTCATGGACTGGGAGATGCCTGTCATGGATGGGTTGACGTGCGTTAGGAACATCAGAGAGCTTCAGAAAGAAGGCGTTGTTAGAGCTCATGTACCAGTCATCGCGGTGACGGCTAATGTGAGGAGCGAGCAGGTAGAAGTGGCGTTGAAGGCGGGAATGGACGATGTGATAAGCAAACCGTTCAGGATACCGGAGCTTTGTGCTTGTATACAGAAGACGTTGAGGAATACGGCTAGGTCATAGTCGTGGTGATTTGGAATAGAAATTAGTACTCTCAAAAGTCGTTCGAAGCAAACGAAGGATCATGCCAGCATGTCGCCAAAGGTCGCACCGCCACTGCGTAATCGCCGCAACCTCGATTTGATGGCATGCTTTTCATCTAGTTTTGCAAGGTGTGAAAGAAACGGTGAGGCGATACTTGATGTTTCCAACGGAAAGGCTATCCGACGGAAACGGTAAACATCACGTCTTGCTAGCGACCGCGAAACATTCGCAACCCGCCCTCCGCATCACCACTCCGCAAAGGTACTTCGAGTCTGTGCATTCACATGCTCAGCACATCAACACAGTCTCGCCATCAATCGCGAATCCACGTGCACCATCGCGAACTTTCCAGCCCACGCAACCAAGCTTCGTTGGGCCGCACGCCCTACCAGGACAGGGCGCGGCTGAACCAACGACCAATCCCTCTCTTTCTTCCAGGCACGACGAAACATGCAATTTTGCGCAAATAGCGACTATGACACACTAAATGTCCTTTAGAGGTAACTCGTGTGTCAAAGACAAGAACGTGATGGTTGTCGCAGTGGGACCCTGCGGTATAAAAAGTCTGTTGAGGCTGAGCCGATGCCAGCCGACAACGCCTCTCACCATGTTCTCCTGAGAGCCTCGCGGGAGCTAAGCGGTTAACGGAGATCATGCCATATGCATTAGCTATTTCTAGTATCATTTGGATCTGAAAAGGTCTAGTCAGGGCAGATTCGAAGGGTATTTTGATGACGTCTTCCGGTGTGTGTCTTGTGGCTTCTAGACACTCGGTGGTAACCAGCGCGAGGCGATGCTACCTTGCTAGACCCACATGTGCGACCTTTGCGAAAAATCAGTCACGGTGCACGTGGAGTGTGTGTGTGTCCAAGATCTCACGATCGTTTTGTCTGGTGGTGGGAAAGGGAGGAAAATTTCTTCGTGGTGCCATGGGGTATATAAGGGGTGGGGAGGTGGGTTGGGTGGAGGAGCATCAGCATCAAGTCATCATCAAGTTCACTACTACACTTCAATCTTCGAATTCAAGACCACCAAACCCTCTAAACATCTTCGGTGTTATCAAACCAAATAACCAACCACCAAAATGAACAACTTCGACTGCCACCCGCGCGTTCTCTCGCTCTCCTCCGCCTCAACCCCATCTTCTTCCAGCCCCGCAACACCCTTCTCGCAGTCTCGCCGCCAGTCCCACGAGTCAGCGCACGACGCCCACCACTTCGTCAACCAAGAAGAGAAGACACAGCACAAGCTCAACCTCAGCATCAAGAAGATGTGGGAAGGCGTCAAGAGGCACGCTGTCGAGCACCACAAGAGCGTCAACGCTGCGTACATGGCTAGCTACGGATGCGGTACTGCGACTGCGGTGAACACTACTGGCGGAAAGGCGTTGTAGATGGGGAGGAGTAGAGGGAGGAGAAGACGAGATATGGACGAAGACTGAAGAAGAGGAAGAGGGGGGCATGAACGATGATACGACGACAAACAAAAGTGGATTTCGAGCGATAAAAGTGGATTTTCTGGTGCATTATACCCCGACGAACGATTTTGTGGCGCCGAGGAGGAGCCAGCAGTGGCTCGGATACTGTTTAATATCTAATAATATACGTCAAAGACCTTGCTCTGTGTTGCGTTGATCTTGCCAATGCCTATGTGATAGCTGAAGAGATTGAAACCAAATGTAAACTCCACTGATCATATACAAACGCCTGCGCACCCTCAAAACCCGATGGAAGAAATAGTACATGACACCATCTCAATACTCGTCGTCGGACTCTTCCTCGAAGTCAACCTCTTCCTCTTCCGCATCATCCTCTTCTTCTTCAGTCTCGTCTTCATCCTCATTCATTACTACACCTAGCTCTCTTCTTCCCGCCGCGTAAAGTGTCTTGTCTTCCTCTTTCAACTCTTTCGCAGTTCGGCGCATGGTCGGAATGAGAACGTCGATGACAAAGTCTTGCAGCTTTCCTCCAAAAGAGTCGTGTAGTGCGATAAGCTCGGGGACTAGCTGTTGAAGACGTGCGCGCAAATGTGCGTCCTCGTTGGTTATGCGCCGAAGTTCTTTTGGAGCATACCGAGGGTATGGTTGCTTGGTAAGATCAGGCTCGCTGGAGAAGTGGCGCGCAATGCGATTGATGTCGCAGCACGTGTGTCGTATCTCTAAGTATGAAAACACGAAGAGGCGGATGTACCCATGGATAAGTCGAGAAAGCTCGAGAATGTTTGCCGCTTTCTCAACCCACAGAGTCAGATCGAGAAGTGTCCTTGTGAGGTTAACACATCGTAACTTGACGTTGTCGCCGTTAGGTGTACGCAAAGTGAGGTCTCCCAAATCTCTCTCTGAAATAACGTTCTTAAACCGATCGCAGAGGAAAGGAAACTGCGGACAATACCAAGCTTGCTCAAATGTATGCTTCCAGAAACACGAGAGGAAGTCGCACCCAGACCTGCTACAGCCACACTTGCATTCGTCGAATATATCCTCTTTTGTAAGAAACTCATAATCTTCGTACGCCCAACAGCTCTCCATCATAGGAAGATGAGTGAGATATGGGGATTGGACTTTAAGCCACAGACATTGAGCAGATTGCCAGGCCAAACAATGTACAGCGGTGGTGTTCGTTCCCGGCCATGTCTCTCTCAGATTCGCCCCTCTTGAGAGAAACCATCCGACTATCAGATTACGTTTTGTCAAAAACCCTAACACTTGATAACTCCTTTTTTGCGTGGCCAGATAGACTAATGGCGAGCAGACTTCCCCCTTGTTGCACTCAAAGTTGTCCCGACTGATATCACAAAAGCCGGCCACCTCCAGGCTTTCGAGCATCTCAATCCTTGGCACCCTCACATTAACCGACAAGTGATAAAGACTCTTCCTTCCTGGCCAATAACGTTGAGGTACGTCAACCCCTTTGCTCGTTAATGCACTGAGCATGCATCTCGTGTGCGCATCCGGCAAGCTTGTTCGAGCGCTGTCACAACAATATTCGACGCCATGCTCTTCCATCAGTAGCTTGACCTCCTTTCTTTCGTTGGCAAGATGGGCTGAAACAAGGCGAATTACCTCCATGCTATAACCTTGATCGCCCCGTAGCTCGTCATCAATGTTACCAACGAAGGCGAGCTGTGGACCACTGAGTAAAGCCATTTGCGACAGCCAGAATTGTAACATGTTTGGCCGATTTGTAGCGGCAGAGAGCGCGAGTAAAGTTCGATGAGTGCGCCGTGCCTGAGAGCTTACATCGTCCAAGTATGTCATTAAGTTGGCATCGAGCAGGGCTGTACAGCCATCCCTCCAGCCAACGATGGTAGACATGACCAGGGCGTCGGCGATCGTATCAGCATTCAGGGCGCGTAAGGATCTGGGTTGACGTAAGAACTCCCGAAGTTGATGGTCTGATTTCTTGAGAACTGCCTCCAGTAGCTCGCTGTCATCTAGTAGCGGGCTGGTGAAACTTTCGTAGCAAATCTCTGCCAAGGCTGACAACTCCTCTTGGCTTTTATTTAATGTACTTCGCATTATAGACCGAGACATCTGCAAATCTTGTTCGAACAGTAATTTCAAGAGGTTCACATAGAAGTCCCTGTACTGCGCAGGGACGGAATACTTTATGATAGTGTCGATGCATGTACTGTTCACACTTAGCATCTTCCCACTTCGAGGTGATACGGCAGCACTAGTCTAATATGGAGCAAAGTCCGACGGTGACTTACTTTCCATAGTTATCTGTCTCGAAAGCTTCGCTTGACATTAATAGAGAAAGATATTTCAACAGAAAAGCAAAGTTCTCAAGAGCGTTCTTACACGCTTTCGAATAGCGAACGCTGTAACAACATTCCTATGCTAGTGGTCAGCTGTCATTGTGCTTTGATGGGGACTGCAAACGTACATGTAGAAGCGTCCGTCCATCTGACGATCGATCCCGTGGTGACGCTTGTCTAAGCTCGAATATCCGGGACAACTTGCCGACCTCACCCCGAAATCTGTCATGTGGAATATCCAGGCCAGCGTTCACAAGTAATCTAACCAACGCGAAAGCAGGAGAATTCCAATGAACGATTCGATGGCACTCCAAACTCTGCGTGAATCCAGCGTTGTTGGACCTGGTAAATGAAAGCGTAACCCTCCTCTTTAGGACAAGACTAAATAGGGTGGCCTTGAACTGTAGATCGGTTAACATATCCGGTAGCGAGTAACGAAGACACCAACGGTCATGATCAAACTTTTGAGTGTATGCAAGAGTCAAAAGTCTTGATATATATGCAAGTGCAGAGGTCTGTGGTTGGCATGTACATGGAACTGCGTCGGAACGTCGTTGTAACTTTCGCGTTCTTCGCTGAACGCCCCTAAGGCTCACCAGATCGTCGTCCAGTGTCGTGCTTTTCGCTGATACAGCTTGCAAAAGTTGTTCTTGGAAGTTGCGAAAATCGGCGTGAAGAGTTTGAAGACTGTGCGACGTGGCGGAAAATCCCGATTCGAGCATGTGTGATTGACCAGCGAGCTGAACACTTGTCGCATCAAATACATCGCGCTGCAGCTGTAGATTCGAGAAGTGATGTATGCTTTGATCCATGGATAGCTTTGTGTAGTGCAACCGAGCATTCTCAGAAGTCAACCGCTGTTGGTCGATGACAAGGGCGAGTAGCGCAGTCTGTAGACTTTGCTGTATGGTGTTGAGAACATCTTTCCAGTATGTGATATCCGCCTCCTTGAATGGAAACGCCAGCCGCTTGGTCAACCTCTTCAAACTCGACTTGATCCCGCCGTCCCCTGCTTGGTCGTCTGGTTTGAGCTTCTTCCTGATAGTCGCGATGGCGTTTGCACACGACACGATGCCGGTGCGTGTCGCTGACACCGACTGGGATGGGTCCACTTTTCCAATGACGGATTCAAGTCGTTCAAGTAGGTTTGCGAGTTCCTCCGTTTCCGCGGCGATTTATTCAGCCTTGTTCTTCGCTTCTTTGACGCCGCTGAGGTACCATTCCAGGCCTTTGCAGACTTGTATGGCGAGGGAAACGACACCGACGGCGCTGCCGGTGATGGAAAATGGGTCTGCCATCGCAGACCTCGATGCGCGGAACGTGGATGGAAGGAGAGAGGAATGAAAGCACACGAGGAGAGCGGGGCATAAGGGAGGCTGAGGCTGAGGCGCAGCGCGTGCATGGCAGGCTGGCAGTGGGCAACCACTCACAACGATCTCACACTCATCGGTGGAGGGCACATGTGCAGCCACCCTGTCATATGGTATATCCCGCGGCGATGTACTGCATGGACTAATATCGACCAATAAAGATAATATGCGTATGTATTCCAGTATGCCCTATGCGCCTATGTCAACGAGAAAGAAGAGAGGCTTAATGCTGCGCAGCCAGAGATCTGTGCTCCTTGTTCAGACGTGGTGATTCTTCATCGTCGTCATCTGAGTCGAGACCTTCCAATTCAAACTCCTCAGCATCTCTCACTCTACGATCGACCCTAGTGTATCCGTTGATGTGTCCGTTTGCGTGACCGTTCGTGAGGGGCGCTTCGGCATCGGCTTTGTCATCTTGTTCCCAAGTGTACACGGCGTAGAGGTGGATGAGCATGTTGACGACTAAACGTGAGTTAGCTTGAGATAGCACGCGGAGATCTTGCGAAGGCTTACAAAGGAACAGCAAGAAAGCGATGCTGTAGAGGATCAGCACGTAAGATACGTGCGTGACGTTCGCGTCGGATAGCAGCTTCATCTGCTCTTCGGTGGCACCCATGAACATGAATCCGCCAGCCATGAGCAGGAACGGCGTCAGGTACTGGAAGCTGTTCGGGTCCGAGCCATCGGTTGCGACAGACGCGCGGTCCTTGAGCACAAACGAGATTTCGATGATGCGTGCGGCACCTGCGGCCATAAGAGTATAGCCAAAGATGGTGTGGATCATAGTCGATATTGGCAGATGTTGTGGGTGCGCAGACATGGCCCATCCGGTCATCAGGATGATGATACCGGGGATAAGGTTGCGCTTCGGTTGACCATTGCGCTTGCGACTGAGCCAGACACCGACTAGGCCCGCAGCCCACCAAACGATGCCCATAGATGTGTGCTGAAGGTCGTTGTGTACCCATGGTCCTCCCCAACGGTGTTCGGTGAACGTGTTGACACAACCCCAGGCGGCAATGACGAGCGAATCGAAGAACTCCTGGCTCCTTCCGGTCCTCCGCAGCCACATCTGTCCGACTAGAAGTAGGATAAGGAGAATGATGCCGTATGCGATGAAGGCGCTGCCCATAATGAAGTGCGCCAGACATTGTCCGGTGTGGTCCGCTCTGCAGAAGCCGAGTGCAGTGATTCCTCCAAAGAGGAACTGCACCCAGGTGACCACTGGCATAGCCTTTCCAACAACACCGTGCGCCTTCACTACCACGCGCCGTATCTTCCCATTGATGCCCTTCTCCAGGTGTAGCTTCAGGTAGATGCCCATGGCGACTTGGGACACCAGCATGAGCATGATGACAGGGACAAACTGGCTGTGGATGTTGTCGGTGAACTGCCTGCCCTTGTGTCTATGGCCGAGGAAGTATCCGATGATTGCGAGGACGGTTCCGAGGGATTGTACCGGGACGTGCCATTTCGATCGTATTATCTAACCCTGCTGTCAGCCCATACTCTTGGTTCTCGATTTGAGGTAACTTACACCTAATACCATACCAGTGGGGAAGATGATGCCCCATGCCACCGTTTGGATCAAGATGTGCGTCCATAGTATTGAGTCCTACATCGACCATCAGTCTTGCTGCCTCAACCAGCGTGGACGAAGTGTCAACCCACTATTGGGTCGGGTGATATGGCATCACCATCTGGGATCGCATCCATATCGTGGTCGTGAGCTGTGACTGCTGCGGTGTAAAGCAGCGCCGCAAGGGCCGCTCTTGTAGGGAGGCTCATTTCGCCGTGGGTATTTCTGAATAAGATTCGGGTCGCTGCAGCTGGCGCCACGAGCAGGTGATTATCGTGGAGTCTGCAGCGTTGAGAGTTTCACAATAGCATCAGACGCGTGCTAAGGTGGGACCGAATGGGGAGGCGAGTGTGTTCGTTGTTTCCCTTGCAGGCGTTGTCGCAATCTCGTGCTTACGTGAACAGAAGGCGCCACCGTTATTGGCTTCCGCCACACTCCGACCGGGCGATCAACACTATCATCTCCGACACCATCGTCGGCCTGCAGCTTCAGCTTCGCCATTCACGACATGACTTTCGAGAAGGGCGTCACCGAAATCGCGGACTCGGATGATGATCCGATGACGTCGCCACCTGGTGTTGTTCCGGATGAAGCGGGCGACAAGCATTGCGCAGTGTCCAATGTTCCGTACCAAGAGCGACAAGACGCGTCGCGCGAGGCAGATGGCCTCCAACAAGCATTCGCCGAACGCGATGCCAGCACAACTGAAGTCTTGGGCGCCGATACCACCAATTCTCCAGTTGATGTCGACGCGTCAAGAATCGATCAGACTAACATGATACCCAATGAGACAACTGCAGCGCAAAGCGAGGAAGGAGCGACTGTCGAAAGTGGCAGTCATGGCCTGGAACTCCACACACAAATACATCCACAACAGCTAGAATCGACGACCAGAGACAAGTCAAGTGGGCCTCACGTGATGGTCGTTCCAACTGAAAACGGGGATCCAGTTGCCAAGGATGTCGAATCTGACCCCTCAGCCTGCGGTGACGAACAGCAGCCACCTGTAAGCCATGCCAGTCCATCTTCTGCCGAACAGGAAGTAGCTGAGGCTATTCAATCCACCATGGCGGATGCGACGTTGAAGGTACCGGGTTCTGCTGCTCTCGCTCCATCAGGGTTCAGCGTCGATTCTGAGTTCCCAAACGGGTCAACATGTCAATCGCAAAGTACTGTCACACTCGCCAGTCTGCCTCGTGAGTCGAAAGATGATTCGGGTCGAGCTGTGAAGTATCATCCGGTAGATGGACACATGAGCGACAACGTAGTCTGTCCTAGATCAATACTTTGTAAGTTCACGCGCTCACATACGTTAGGACCGATCTCGGCCGACCGCAACAGCTGCCAGCATGCAGTCGAATACGACAAGGATTGCATTAGGCTCGTCAGGCGACGCAGGTCCTGCTGCGACCATGCCGGACGACTACACCAGCTCCACGCTCCATAGGGTTCAAGACACTGAAGCTACGCCTCCTGATGCGCGAATGCACATCAACACTAGCGAAGCTGCCATGATTGAAAACGGATCTAGCTCTGAGATCGGCCAGGAACAAACTTCCCGAAGCACATCCGTGGACCAGCAACCATCCGCAGAAGAAGTGGCATTACCGAAAGAGAGCGCAGGCTCAAGTTTTGGTGCTAGTTCACCAATCGCTGAACTATCTACCCATGCCCAACCACACGCTGACGCCCAACGCTTGTCATCGCCCATCCCAATGCATCCATCGAGAACACCACAGGAAGTCACTCTTGACAATCTGAGGGCCCAAAAAGCTGCACTCTTGGCCTCTCTCAGTGCCCTTCCAGCGATCCAAGTGCTGATGGAAGAGAACGCTCTTTCAGATGCCGAATCAGGCGATGCTAGCGATGAACCTACTGAGACCGATGTCATGGCAGCCGCAAACAAAATCGTGAAAGAGCACATCAAATTACTACACGAATACAACGAGCTGAAAGATGTGGGTCAGGGGTTGATGGGCCTTATTGCGGATCAGCGGGGCGTACGGATAGTCGAAGTTCAAGAGGAGTTCGGCATCGATGCGCAGGACTGATCGCAAGTTTACCAGTGTGCTGTGAACGGCAACGGGAGTGAGGAAGCGATAGACGACGGCGTGAACTAGGTGTGACAGGCGCAGAACGAACACGGCATCTGAGTGTCAAATAAACCTTATACTGTATGTACTTCCTCTTTCGCTCTATATGCAATCTGCCGTTCTCAGGCTACACACCACTGTCCCGTGCCTAGTTCGACTGCCCGCTGATCCGTCACGCCAGGCTCGAGGCTCCAGCTCGCCGACTTTGCCAATACTAGCTGATGCCTGTCTTCATCAACAGACTTGGTGGCGATCCTTGGCCTTGACACATCTTCCGACGGACCCCAAGTACAGGTGGACGCGATGAGATCAATTGCGCAATATGAGCGCATCCTCGGTCCATCTAAGATGCGGCTCATCTTCCAGTTCTGGACCGGGCCTCTCGAAGCCCGCTCTCTGCGGGTAGCGACAGACTTCGCGCACGGACCGTGAGCCGTGTCGCAGGGACGCGTTTGGCCAGATTGCCGGAAACCGGAGAAGCACCGATTGGAAAGGAGGTATTCCAGAAGATTGGATCTCAAAAGACTACGCCACATAGGTTTTCTTTTGCGACCTGCAGAATGCAGATGTCTTTTCGCAAGACTTGGGTCGCAGACGATGGTCAGCTGAGCCGAAATCCTCATACGATGTTCCATGACTCTGCACATTGCCATTCGGTCAATGTCGGCCACCAACACCTCAGCATCAACTTGGACTGGATCGACTGCAACCGTCGTCTTGTACAATTGCGGGTCTTCCTCGGTCATACTCGCACATGTAATCAGGGGAAGCGACGGAAGCTACGATCGTGCCCCGAATACACCAGCAGAGTCGACCCCATGTATCGATATGGTCTCATGCGAGTATCAGCATTGTAGGCGTACCAACTCCGTCTCAACCACCGGTGAACATCAAATGCAGACCTTGAGCCGCAGCGCCCAGCTTTCTGCAATGATTGCAAGGAAGTGAGAGTGTAGGGGCGCTGTTCATCCGTCTGAGAGGTCGACTGACGAAGTGGCGGTGCAGATTCTGCGTCTTGGTGTGGAGTCGGATGTCGCGCATTCATGCATTCGCGTCGACGAGCTCCATGAGCGTTGAAGATCCGCGGCCCCACGCAGGAAGGCAACCTTGGGAAAATCTTGAGTATCCTAGCCCTCGGAGGTATTATCGCGACATCTATGTTTATCATCACTTACATGTTATGAAGTCGGCGACCGTCCACTACCCGATGAGAATAGTAATCATCTTCAAGACGAACAAAACCCGATATTCTTGTTACGTTCCACGATACACGTCAGCCGTGTAATTTAAGGTTTAAGATGACACTTGCTTTCGGGTAGGAAACAGATCTAACTTATATGTGGCGCTCTGAACGTCGGATCCCAGAGTGCGCAGTGTCCCGCTGGTTGATACCAAGCTAGGAAGCCGGTCCACTCCGTAATGCACGTCTACTCGCAAACGCAAGCGAGGGTCCTTCGGAACACTTGGAATTACTAGCGGGTAGCATCTACACGTGGTGATTGGCAGCTAGAGCATGGCAGGACAACCCAAGCCGCTTGCTAAGTTGACAGCTCCACGGTGCATGCCGTCCCGTCCACTAATGCCATCCTATTGCTAGTCAGTTACCCATGATGAACTTATCGGTAGTTTGCAACGTGCTTTCTGGAGCGGGCGTGCCTCCTTTCCGGGATCAGTGGGATATATGGGTGTTTTGGAGACCCTGAGCCCTTCTACTCTAGGATCTTTCTGACCGACTTCTCCTTCCCCAACTTCGGCGTTATTTACACCACACGATGTCGGCTACCGTCCAGGACTTCCAGCTTGCTGCTCTGGCTGCCGGCTTTACGATTGGGTTCGGGTTCTTGACAGTATGGGAGGCCGTCAAGCAGACACGGCGAAATCACAGCCCCCTTCGATCAGCCTACATTTACATGATATGGGGTGAGATTCTGGTCAATGTCATCATCGGTATCATCGGATGGCTGTTCTTGAACGATGTACTCGGGCCGACGTGAGTTCCCTGGCAATGCAGTACACGACAAAGAGTCGACGCTGACAAAGATTACAGTGTCCCCGTTCTATTCTTCATCCTATTCTTCTGGGTGTGGGAGATCCAACTGCTCATGCAAATCATCATCAACCGCATTGCCCTCATCGCAGAACACCGAAGTACCATCCGCAACCTCAAATGGGGAACAGTAGTCTTGATCACCAGTATCAACATCGCCGTCTTCTGTATCTGGATCCCATCGCACACCGTCCCACCAATCAGCGAAACATTCGTCAAGATCAACAACGTCTGGGACAAGATCAGCAAGGTTCTCATCCTCATCGTCGACGCAGGCCTGAACTGGTACTTCCTGCGCACCGTGAAGATCAGGCTCGTCGAACAACACGGCCTAACCAAATACGCGCCGTTGGTAGGCTTCAACGGCAAACTAATGGTCGTCTCCATCGCCATGGACGCCCTCCTCATCGGTCTCATGTTCCTCGAGAACCAAGTCGTATACGTCCAATTCCACCCCGTCGTCTACATGGTCAAGCTCAACATCGAAATGTCCATGGCCTCGCTCGTCGTCCGCCTCGCGCAAGGCAAGCCGCAAAACGACATGAACCCCGAAGAATTCCACAGCTCCTCCGGCCCGGACTCGCACTCGCGCTCCAACGCACGTTCGCACCAACCGCACTCGGTCCAGCTGACGAACCGATCGAAACGCAACACAACAAACATGCGCAGCGCGGGGCTGAGCAAGATTGATAGCGATGAAAGTTTGGAGCTTGGTGGTATCCAGTGTACGACGGATTTACACATCACGCATGAAGATAGGAAAGATTATGTTGACAGGAAAGATTTCATAGAGGGCAGCTCGAGGAGTAGCAATGACGCGCCGGCGCCGAGTGTGTTTGGGGATGAGACGCCCTTGAAGCAAGGGGCGAGGATACAAGAGAGGTCGATGTGAAGAGTTCTTTCGTTTGTTTTGTTGAGCGGTTGTAATTAATGATACCCGTGGATATGTAATCACAATTGGTAACTACAAGGCTGTCTTCATGCACCAAGTGACGGGGCTCATTATCAGGTCGGACTAACTCGTCTGCTCACTGACAGGCCGGACGTCTGACTCTCTCGTCGAGCGACCCAGTTCAAGTTCTCCTCTTCCACCGGCGGCTTTCTGGCCCGTGCTCAGCTCTTCAGCGCGCGCTCCGTCTTCACTCTCATTTCAGCTCAGACACAACAATAGGACTGCCGCCTAATCTTCTTTCTCGCTTATCTCGCTGCCGTGAGTTGATCCGGAGGCCGAGCGCACGTATATCAATATCGCTCCACCTCCGCAATCCAACGCTTCTACTCCCCACCCGTTCGCAGATAGATTCCACCACAACGACTGCCACCACTACCATTACCTCTACGCAACATCTCTAGCTACCATGGTAAGGTTTCTCCTGCGTTCCTTTTGCTTTTACAGTCATTTCCACTGTCAATCGTTTCTTTCTTTGCGTCTCGACTCATTTCCACTGTCAACCTTTCTTGTCTCTTTTGTCTTCAGCTATCTATAACGCCATATATACTGTTCACACTTACTATTCTTCGCACCCCAGGTCGTTTCTACTGTCATCTCTACTGTCTAACCCTTACTTAGGTACTTCGTCACTCGCTGTGAGACACTGGCGTCACCTACCGCGACAGCAGCTTGCTTTCGACTTCGCCATCCTAAATCAAGATCGGTTTCGTCGTCGTTCGTTGTAGATATCATCGCGACTTCAAAGAACGATCGTACTAGAGGAGCGGGTAGGACTGAGCTTGAACTCGCGGTCTGGGTCTGGATCTGGGTCTGGAGCCTCTGTTGTTTTGCTCTCGATGAAAAGTAACATCGCGTATATGATCAAACCTTGTTGCACATGTAGACCAATCAATAGAATCCCAATTGTAACCAAGCACATTCCTTTCATGTCTTCTCCTTCATCGTGATGGTGCTGGTTGCCTAATCCTCCACATGACGTCAGTCCCGCCTCCGCACGTGGCGCGACTATCTTTGACGCGTCGGGAATCATTCTCGCCACACTATCATGTCTTCCTCATCAAACACTGCTCTCAAAACGCACATATCACGTTGCGACAATAGTAGTCTCTATGAGTACACGTCGCGCTTCATTCCGGAGCTGGCTCTCCTAGGCTACACAGATGTAGCAGCTCGCCTAATAGGCAGACTCAACAACTATGACTTCTATCAAGACAGGCTTGCAAGCCTTCGGCACCTTTGGTTCCTCTGGGATCTGCGTGCGAGGGAAGATGGTGTGCCATGGCCTGAGGGAGAAGAAGATAAGGTGCGTCGGGCTGTGAGGGACAGACGAGCCAAGGCGATCGGCGGCGAACCGCCACCGGGAGGTGGCGGAACAATAACACCAGACGATGTACAGGAAGAGCTGCAGCTTATGGAGAAAGAGTTGGCGTCGAAATGGTACAAGCCCACTGTGATGCCGGGGTCAGGACCTGGAGAAGCACTCCACGTCCATGAGCTTGATCGTTCACCCACTACTTCTCAAATGCTTGATAGTGCGACAGATGCCATCCATAGTTTGGAGACTGCAAATCCGGCACCTACGATCCGAGACGTGAGAAGCGGGCTGGTGCGCATACTGGACCTGGTCTCATCGGTTGAAGCATACCATGAACAGCCTGGCATGGGCGAAACACTACGCAAGTTGGGCACCCCGACATCCCATGAGTTGCTACATTGGCTAGCGCATAGCTTTGGAGAACGGTCATATGAGACTCAGCCGGCGATTGAGTCCAGGCAGGCATGGAAGTTGTACAAAAGCGGAGCGCTAAGACAGCAACTCAACATCGCTGAAGCAGGGCTCGCAGCCTTCGCAAGGGACTTCGAGAACGCTTTGACCGAGCGACTCACGAACGGTCGAACTAGAACGAGAGCCGATATTTCCATACAAGAACTCTTGGAAGCAGCAGAATACAACACGAAATACAACACCGAGGCCAGACAAGTGAACCCCGAGCCCCCCGAAACCTCCCTCTTTCACCCCCCAGCCACCGACTCGCACATTGAAGAAGCCGAGACCCGTCTCGACACTACCTTGCCACCCGACTATAAGACCTTCCTCCGCATCAGCAACGGTTTCGGTTCTCCATGGGGCCACCCGCTAGGCGACCTCCAAACGCCTCTGCATCCCCTTAACAAACTACGCTGGCTCGACCCCGCAGAAGAAGACTGCTTCACCGACCTCACGCTCGACCTACCAACTCGATGGGATAAATGGCCTTTCGCACCCCCTCCAACTAAGAAGGCCTATGCTTGCAACGAAGTGACAGAGCATTTCCTCATCGGTCGCGCATTGGAAATCGGCACGCAGGAGATTGACAATACGTGGCTTCTCCCACTTTCTACTATCGTGCCGATAAAACAGGCTGTGAAGAAGATGCTGGATGATGAGACACTGGGTGAACGCGAAAAGAACAGTGTAAGAGTTGCGATAAAGGATTTCGCGGGTAGTGAACGGGAGTGGGAGCAGATGGAGTGGGCGTGTGTTACGTGGGCTAGTGGAGGGGTGGCGGCTATGTATGTTTATCCGGGGTTTAGGGCGTGGCTTGAGGATGTTGTTGAGAAGGGGAGGGTTGGGTTGGAGGGTGAGGAGGAGGAAGAGCAAGAGCATATGTTGAGGCGTGGCATGTGGCTGGGGAAAGTGTTTGAGAATAAGAAAAGCGGGGATAAGTCAGACGCGGAGGAGTTGCCGGGGTGGTTGAAAGACGCGATTAGAGCGGCGATGCCAACAAGGAGATGATGAGCACGAGAAGATGTAGCTGTCGAACCTGTATTCTATGTCACGGAAGCGCAGCCCGGGTTGGGGTAGATACAGGGGCTTTTGGACTCCTGGCTTGAGACGAGCTCTCCTTGTGCATGGTCCGTGCTCTGATGTAACGATAAACGGTGGGTATACAAGCCTTCGTTCCTCCTGCTCCTTTCCTTCTCTCACCACACGATCCTACTTCTGAAATACCAAAATCCAAAACACGCAAATCCATGGCTGTCTCTCCTCCGCTTTTCGGTTCCAAATCTGGAGAGGCGTGATGCATGATCGATCTATCAGCCGAAAAAGTCCGCTGCCCCCAACTATGTGCAAAGATCTACTCCGGATATCATAAGTTTGAACTCATGTTCCTGCCTTTGGCGTTTTTGAACAAGTACTCATCAAGGTTTTCACTTAAAGAAGCACGATGATATACTCATGAGCCGCGCCACTGTCTCCTAAACTCGGTGGCCGTCGAGATGATGGGGCGCTGTCCATGTATATATATCGCTCTTCTTGGGTCTTTCTCTTACTACATCGACATCCTGGACCGAAATTAAAAAGAATCATGGACGACTTTATGTCCTGGGCGCCTCCTTCTTCTCTCGAAACCTACTCGCTCTTATGCCATGGCTGGAATACAAAAGACTAAAATCGTATGCATCAGTTGCTATGTGCACTCCAGATCTACAGTTGCAAATACTCCCCCTTTTTCGGGAACAGCGGAAAGTCATGGCTATGAACATATGGACGAGAAATTGTGTCATTGCGTTGCCGAGAGCGACAAAAAATGGGGCTTGATTACATTGATGATCTTCTTTGCTGCACCCGACTACAGGAAGTGTGTGTATAAAAACGCCTTTCACACCTCACCGTTCTTCTCTCCTACACCTCACAGGCTTTGCTTTTGTTCCAAAAGCAAGGAGTATCTAGTGTATGTCTGTGCTTCCTCTCTCTTCCAAAATTACCTCGATGTCATCGCATATCTCTAGCCTAGCTCTCGAAAATGGCGTCTGTCACGGCCATGTCTTCGGTCGCTGAAACAAGTTACATCTAGTGGCTTCCATGAAAGCACGTCCAAAATCCCAGTTCGAAGACAAGATTCTCCCCGCTGCACCCTACAATCTACACTCTTTCTCCAAATTAACATTTCACATTACGATGTCTGCTTCTCCGCCCTTTCCCTAAAGTATTCCAAGGTTCGTTCATACTTGTGGAGACGTCGCCGCTAGCCTACCATACTGTGAAAGCATAAAGGTTCATCATTCACGAGATACGATCTTACATCTTACACCCTCGGTGCACGAATTCCTTTCCAAAAGATCCTACAACTGATATCATGTCTGCGTGTTCCGCTCTTTCTTCAAAGAATTATTCAGATGGGCATGTACCTGGCCTTTTTACCAAAAGCAGCACCCTCAGAATGTATGACCAGAGTTACCACTAGTTCAACTTGGTGCACCTGCCTGCCGTTCACCCTGCTACGTATCAAAATTACGCGAAGATAACGCGATGTGGAGAAGATTGAACTCACTAAGGTTGCGCGGAATGAAATAGTGGGAAACACAAATGCATACGCGACATCCTCGATGGTTGTCCTTCTCTAATAAGCGAATAAACGCGTAAAAGGACTCTTCTGCACGCCTCATCAACTCTATTCTTCATACAAACATCGCTTCGGCTGGGACATAAAAGTGAGATATTAGGGTCTGATGAGAACTAGAGAGAATCGAAAGCGCACAAAAGGCTCGCGATGTCTACCCTGCTCTCTTCTTCCTTACTGTTCCTTTGAAACAGTGTCATTGTTCAAACACCAGAAAACCTTTCAATATCGACGCATGAGAGGTAGAAGATCAGAAAGTATGCGCCAGGCCTAGTATGTCCGCTCTGCGTCGAGCCCAACTATAAATTTCATCCTCTCCAGCATATGCTTTCTTTCAATCTGCTTTCACACATCCTACACTCAATATATCTAACAGAAGATTCTACGCTACACTCTCATGAAAAGCAGACAATCAAAAGACTTACTCTGGTCAGTACACGTCGCGCCGGGCTATAAAACGCTTCTCTTCTAGCTATGCTCTTCTCCTCTTCTTTTCTACATCTACGTTCAAATCAAATACAAAAAGCCGCATAGCTTCGTTACATGAGAAGTGAAGAGCTCGAGAAACCATGTTCTTCATTTGCCATGTCGGAGTTTCTCGGAACAGGCTACAACGCACATAAATACCCCCTCCTTTGCTTTTACTCCATTCTTCATCACCAACACTTCTTTTCCAAATACCAAAAGCTCAAATGAAAGACGCGATGAGAAGATCGAGTCCAAATGCGAACGCGAGCATAGCATGTCCTTGCTCCCTTCCCGAAGCAGGATACATATAACCAACCTTCTTCTCTGGCTCTTCTCCCTCTTCTCCACCTCCCTTTTCCGATATCTCTTCTCAAAACAAAATAAAGCTATTGCGATGTTCTGAGTTCGGTCGGACCAGAAAACTAGTACAGGGCCTCCCATGTTCCGACTTTTGCGCGCCTAGACTCAAAAGGCTGCAAACCGCGACATATGTTGCGCTCTTCTCGTCTGCAAGTCAATCATGTATACGTCTGAAGCATTAGGATAGTACATGTCACAGCGTGTCAAAAAAAAAACTCATCAAGTAGCTGGGATGTTTGCGTGCGCCTCGCAAGCATGCACATTCGAATTCAGACTTGAGTGTCGGCGTAGTCGCATAGTAGCGACGGAAAAAGCATCACTGCAAGATATATAGAAGACCATTCTCCTCCGCTCCCTCACACTCTTCCTATACACATTTTCTCTTATTTCAAAAGACCAAAAACTCGCCTACTACAGCCCATGAGAAGCAGACGACCAGAAATCCGCTTCGAAACCGTCTATGTCTGACTTACTTCAACTTCTCAAAATTATGGCCTATCACAACATGTTTTCTCTCTTCCCCCTCGCTGCTTTCTACAACCTAATTTCCGAAAGATCATCCAACTGAGAAAGAAGAGAAGGCATGAGAAGTGGGCTCTTTGAAAAACAACATATCTTGATCGTCATGAGCAACTCGCTCCGACTTGGCCTACCAAGGACGTTGTTCCTAAGTAGAATGTCCTTCTGACTGTTTAAAAGAATGGAAATTCTGCACATGATACCAAAAACAAGATGCAAAATTGCCATGAGAAGCAGACGACCAGAAACATAGTTCTTAGGGCGGTATGACTGCGGTGCTCGCGGCGAGCTGCGGGAGGGTTATAAAAGACCCTTTCTTCCGCCCTTTCTCTGTCTTCCTTATCACACTTTGACGTGGGCTCAACATTGAAAGCAGTGAAATTCATCTTTATGAGAGCAGAGACTGGGAGACCAAAAACAAAACCCTCGTTGAGCCATGTCCTGAGCTTGTCTGGAGAGAGTTTTCCAACTTCGGCTGGCGGGGCAAAGTGCGGCGAATCGATGACATGTCCAAAGACGCTGACTGTGTCCGCGATGAGAACCGCCTCCCCTGTTGGATGGAAACGATGTCTACCTCATGTTTGTTCATATTATGCATTATTTCGTATCAAATCTCCAAGTTTTCCCGCTCAGCCAGGCCGTCTGACTTTCTTCAACCTATTCCTCCATCCTCTATCCTTCCCGCTCTTCCCTTCTCTTGTATCTTTCGAAGTGTCCGCAGGCTCGCCTTCTTTTCCTCTCGGATACCCGTTGCCTGAAGCACTCGGTTCATCATCTCGATCCCGAGTATCGTCCTCATGATTTCGTTCCCACAGCCCCTCCCCCACAAGCGTCGCCTCCCGACTCAGCGGCTTCCGACTCAGCCTTGCCTCCTCCACACCGCGTAGGTATCTTTTCCGCAATTCCTCGTCGCTGAGGACGTTGACAGAAAGATCTGTATCCGACCTAGCCAGCGGTCTAATCTCCATATCCATGTCTTCAGTCGGAGAAGCCATCCACGCTTTCTCCTTGCCCGCCGACGCGAAAGTAGGACTTGGCGTTGATAACAAGGGTGTTGGTGACATGGGTGACTTCGCCGCACCCTCTGTATCTGTATCCGTATCTTCAAGGTCCTGCAAAAAGAGCCCATGATCCACAACCGTGCCTCTCGTACCTTTCTTGCCATACAACTGCCTCCCCAACGCCCTATTCTTCGCGCTAATGAGATCTTTCCCGCTTAATCCCGTGCGCCGCCTCGCCGCGACCGCCATCGCAAACGCCGCGCGCAACGGCGTAAGTCTGTAGCCCTCCTTGACAAGCGTGGAATTAAACTGTGCGTCCTGCCACAGCACGTACATACTAAACACCCAGGCACTCGTCACAAACATGAACAAACCAGCCATGAGTGTCGAGAAACCCCATTGGTAGGTTGGATTGGCGGTGTCGGGGAGGCAGCGGCTTTTCCCGATGAGCGAGTCGTACTGATACCCTATGCTATTGTAGCAGTACCCGTAGTCTCCGACGAGGTCGTCGGCGTTGTACGTTTTGCCACCCACAGGGACGGAGACGCTGGTGTTGCAGAGATGAGTGATGGAGTCTTGATTGTAGACCTTTTCTTCCGTCCAGGTCTGTGTGTTGTTGGGGAAGTCGAAGGTGCAATTGAACAAAAGATCGTCGTATTGATTGAACGAGGTGTGCTGCCAGAGGTCTCTTTGTTCGGCGGCGGTTACAGTGGTGCCGTTGGCGAATTTGCAGTCACCTATTTTCGTTGGTATTAGTATGTCGAAATATTATTGGGGGAGCGGTTGGATGGTGGGTGTGGGTATGTGAGGGGTAAGGTGAAGGACGACGACGTACAACTTTGGCGTCTCTTATCCGTAATGTAGCCATAATCACTGCGCAGATCGTAGTCCGCACAGCCCGGTTGCTTCCACGTCTCGTTCTTCGTGCCTAAGATAACCCACGTATTTGATAATTGGGAAGCGGGGATGATGTTGTTCGACCCGTCGATGTCGAGCCACGCGATAGAAGTGCTGTCGTAACCTGTCATGGCGCCGAGGACAATGGGTACAAGAAGCACGTAACCTGTCGACCAAAACATGTAGAAGAACAAAAATCGCGTCCGTATACTCTTCGCAGTCCATAGCTCTTTCGTCAACGCCCATAGACAGTGCAACCCGGGCCCTTCCATAGCCATCCTCTGGAAAATGCTGAAGCTCGCCGGATGTCGTTCGATCGCGCGTAGTAACGCGTCGCAGAAGACATTGTACGTGGCCCACCACGCCAATGCCTGTGCGCCTTTCCCGATAAGCAAGTCCCAGAGTATGTCTATCGTCTTGGCCTGTGAGAAGGTGAATTGGCCCCACGTAGCGTCCAGCGTAAAGAGTTTCTCTATTCCCGTCACCGTTGCATTCTGAGGGTCTCCGCCGATGGTGTTTCCGCATGACAAAGTCTTGTCTGCGAAAATGTGACTTATCGGTGTCACCGTACCTGCTGCAAATACGGGCAGGATGACCCAGCTGAGCAAGAGGAGAGAGGCGTAGAACTGCTTCTTCGACCACCGGAAGTGTTTCCATAGTGGTGCATTCTTAATCGTCCGCGCGGTCCATTTGGTGGCGTGCCAGATAGTCAAACAGGCGTCGTGCAACATCCAGGTCCAGCGTACTTTCCATCGCGGTTTCGACGGCCAACCTCGCGGTGTGCATGTTGCCTCGTGTACACTGTCATTACCCCAGGTCTTGACGCGTTCATGCTGTATAGGAGTCTTTCCTTCCGAAAACGATTCTTGCGTCGAGTTGACAGATGTACACGCAATTTTAATATCCTCCTCTTCCGCAGCCAAAGCCTTCTTATCATCGTATCTCAACGCCGCCATCTCGTATCAATGCCAGCGAAGGCGACGCGAGATCGCGGTTAGTGCATTCGTATGCGCAACTCGGTGTCGAAGAAGCGAGGACGGTGGTGGCGAAGGGAGGCCGGGGAGGTAGTTAGGCAGCCCACAGGTCCGCAGTTCGCATTCGTCTCGAGGAAATGGAGAAGCGTCGAACAAAAGATATTCGGCGAGACCTACGCGTCGCGGGATGCCTGAGCGGAATTACCCCGGGCTAAGCTTCGTTCGTCGTCGCTTGGCCGCTTCGCTGCATGGATGCATGTGCCCAAGCTACAGGTAGTTCACCCGGGAAATTCCAACACCTGCGCGCAAGCACGGAGAGAACTCCTCTTCGCTTTCATTCTGGAGAACATTCTTCCGCTATAAACTTCAGTGTTTTGTAGAGCTCATTGGGGAATTCTGAAGATCGATAGCGTAGAGGCGAACACCAAAATCGCGTGCTGTCGTGCAATCGTATCAAGGAGCGCGAGACGGTCAAGGGAAGGATTGGGTTCCCCAGCACGATGTGAGGCTGTGTACTTCGTCACTAAGCCCAGAACAGCTAGATCCAGGGACATCTCTCGGCTAGCCAGGTTACGCCCTGCACGTCGCAAGGCAGACATGAAAGTGATGGTTCTTGTGTTTGCAGTCTTCTGGTAATGATTCAGTCGCATTTACCTTGGTCGTTTTACTCTGGTCGTTTCAAGCTACCTAGTGCAATACGTGATGACGTTGATGTGCCTGCGGGCTCTGAATTAAAACCGAGTCTAAGAGTGACATGAACCCCCCTATCGTTAGCGGACCGGAGTAACAAAGCTAAAAGCTTACAGACCCAACAACGCGAAGATATCATGGCAAGTCCCTAGGCTTTGCTCACGATGTTACCGTCGCCAACGCTATCCACGATTTATCAAGGAAAGTGACGATCCAGCAACGACGCCAACGATATCAGAATTGGACGCAATCACGATCAATCAAGGAAAGTAACGATTCGTCAACGGCATGCAACGATTGATCAACGACAACGGACGTCACCGATGCTATGGACGGTGCATCAACGACATCAAGAATCCATCACCAACATACTGACTCTACAGTCTAGCTTCCGCGTTCATCCAGAAAACTATCAACAACGAACAACGAACAATTCCGGCGACGACACAACTAATGCCTAAAACCTCCAATCAATATTGGCAAAGGCAACAATGAACGAAAGAGCCCTCACGACATCACTTCACATCACTTCACATCCTCAATCCAACAAATCCATTCCATCAAATAACAGTATGAATAATCATCGAGCACCAGGCCCATCCCCTCAAGGAGAAAACAATAGAGAACCCTTTATGTATACATCCAAACGCCCATTGAAACACGCACATCCCCCACAAATACACTCGTCATCTCTCCCTCACAGCTCACATTCAGCTCCCCACAGGCGTCCCACTCCGACTAAGCACACTAGCCGAACTATTAGTCCGCAGTACCGGCGTTGCACTCCTACTCCTCTCCCTCTCGCGATCCCTTTCCTCGGTTTTGACCCGCTCCCTCGCTTCCTCGACAAGACGCTTAGCCTCGCGTACATTGCGCATGGTCCTACTCAGCTTGCCCTCTTTTCCATCTTGGATCTTCTGCAGTTCACCTCTGGCTTCAATGTCTTCTTTAGTCTTAGTAACAAAAGACTTTAGGCTGACTTTGATATTCTGACGTAAATCTTGGCCTTCGTCGAAGATGGCGTCGCTGTCGCGGATGGATTTGACGTTTTCGACGCGGCGGGTAAGGTACAGGGTGGGACGGCGGGCAGCCGCGGAGGCAGCTGCGGCGAATTGTTCGCGGCGTTGGGCGATGATACGTTGGACTTCTTCTTCGTAAGCGGTCTCGTAGACGTTGATGTCAACGTTGGAGGGGGATTCAGAGACGATGCATCCGTCTTCGGGTTCGGGGAGGAAGTCTTCGCCTGTGCCGATGTTGAGGAAGAGTGTGTCTTCTAGTGGGTTGTGTGCGTGGCCTTTGCCGAGAGGTGTGGTTGGCGCTGATGATGAGGGGGCGAGGCCCCCGGGAGTTGAGATGGAATGTATGGGCGCGGGCCGGATTGACATGTTCTCGTGGATGATCTTGGCTTCACTGAGACCTGGAGCCGTCGGCGTCGTCGGACTGCCAGAAGTAGATCCCTTGCTGGCTGAACGCTTCCCTGCCACCTCAGGTCGGAGACCAGGTTTGGTGTATGCCATGTCGTCCATGTTATGGGGAAGTCTCTGGCCCTTTTCGTCGATTTTGATCTGATGGTGTACACCCTCGGAGGAGAGTGCGCTCTCAACTGGTCGGCGGTCGTGTGTGTCTTGTGATTTTGATTTGCGTAGTGCTGATGGTCGCATGGACATGGGCGGCTGAACGATTCGCGAGGCACTGCCCAGTATACTCTCTATGCGGTCCGGTCGCCGTCTGAAGAGCAGCTGCTTGAACCGCTTCACTGCCCGTACCTATGCAGTTGTTAGCTCAAGAATGGCTACGATACTTTGATACCAATGCTTTCGCATGCGATAGGGAAGACGTGCACCTACCACTGTTACCAAGTGACCCATGTTGCCCGTGATGGCAGCATTGACTTCCTCATCGGTAGGCGGATCAATGATAATGGCGACGTTCTCCGACTTTGCTAACAAAGGGTCCGTCCCTTGTCGCGTGACCCACGGGTGTTCCTGGAAAGTCAGTCTTACGCGATGAAGATGGGCAGTCAACTCACTCTGATCTCTTCCATGGTTATCCTCTTTTTGGGGTCCTTGTCCATGAGCCTCACCAGAAGATCCTTCAGCTCGGGATTGCATTCAGTCTCAAATTCCAATGGGTCCATCCGTATTGATTGGTAAAGCTCGATCATACCGTGCTTTTCGAATGGTATACGGCCGAAAAGAAGACAGTATAATGTGCAGCCCATGGACCATATGTCGGCGGCTCTTCCAGAAACATGGCCATGTTTGGCAACGCACAGCTCCGGCGGCATAAACGCTGGCGAGCCCGCTGACTTGGCCGTCTTCATCTCGCCTTCCTTGTCGAACATTTCTGAGACGCCGAAATCAACAATCTTCAGCACGTCCTCTTCGGTGATTAGGCAGTTGTCGGGCTTGATGTCTCGATGGATAATACCCTGGGCGTGGACTGACACATATTAGCATTGTCTCGCGAATGATCTAACTTCACGTACGGTACTCAAGACCCAGTATCATGTCTCTGAACCAACACCGACACTGCTCTTCGCTGTAGGGGTCGGCGCGCTCCTCGAGACCAACTTGCATGACGACGCCTTTCTTGCACATCTCCATGACCATGTACAGCGAGTCCTCCTCTGGGTCGTCCAGCACCTCGATCAATGTGACCAGGTTCGGGTGGTGTAGCTTCTTCATGATGGCAATCTCTTCCTTGATCAGCTCGAAAGCATTGTTCTCTTCGGTAACTGAATGCCGGTGCAGCGGTGAATTGAAGCCTATGCCAGCAGGGAGCGCGCGCATTCGTTTCGCGGCGGTCGGTCGGCGTAGGAGGTTGGACTGAGCGCGTTTCCGCAGTCGGGATTTGGAGAATTCCTTCACAGCCTGCGCGTTGATGCGTCAGCGAGAGCCAATGCCTGTACCTCGAGGGAACCCGCATCGTCTTATTGGGGGCATGCGCCCGGGTGGTGCCTTCTCTTTCCGGTGGAGATGTCGAGAGAGCTGGTATCCTCACATATTCTTGGCCATACTGGTCGACAGCGAGATGGACGGCGCCAAAGGAGCCGCGGCCAATCTCCTGCTTGACTAGGTACTGGTTGATGCGGTGTTGGGCGCTGCCGTCATCTTCGCTGTTGCTGTACTCGGAGCGCGCATTGAATGTTTCCTGTGCTGTTAGAGGTGGCTCAGGGTCGCAGCTTCTGCATTCAGTGGGTCGCACCTTCACACGTCTCGTCGAGGAAGCGGCGCGCTTGTGGTGTCGTAACGGGCTCTGGTATGCGGGTGTTGACCTTGTCTAGCATCAGCTCCGGCCAGGACCAGCACCTCCGCGGGGTAGCCATGGCATATCCCCGGGCAACACGCACATAAACTTGACGGGGGGCGGTCGTCCGGCCTCGCTGACAGCTGGGACTTCTAGGGAGGGTTGCGATGTGTAGATGCGCAGGTCGGACTCGGATGGGCGCTTGGGGGGAGGTGTGG